TCTCACTTTATTTAAATATATTTTTTTTTTCATTTCAAAAAATCACTTTTATTTCTTTTTCTCCTTATAATAATTTTTATAATTATATATATTATTAAAAATTATCATTTTATATTACTTTTACGACTAAGGACATTTTGATAATTTTAATTTCTATCAATTAAATAATTATTTTTATCCGTCACATTGGTTAAATCTTACACTAATTTTTACCAGTTTTATTTTCAAATTCATTCTCACTCACTTTCAAATCCTTTGAGAAAAAAAAATTAACTTTTCAAATAAATCCACTCTCACTTCTCCAAATTCATCCTTCAATGTGAACACAACCTAGAGAGTTTGTAATTCTTAAACTCCAATACAAAATTAAAATATCACTTGCTAAACTTTAATATATTTTGGTCTCCAAATTTTAAAAATTAATAGATATAATTATTTTAATATAATAACACCAATTATTTTATGTATTAAATGACATTCCATTTTAATACTTAGGATGAAATATGTCCATTGTAAAGAGCTTATCCACTAACTTAAAATACTGTTTATTATAAAATAAAATTAATATAATTAAATTACAAAGAATATATATNCATTTGGTACTTTAAAAAATATATTTTTATAAATTATTAAAATAAAATTACAAAAAATATATAAAATATGATATAAATTAAAATTCATTTTTAATTAAATTTAACTTTATAAAATATAAACTAATGTTAATTTTAATTAAATTTAACTTAATAAAATATAAATTAAATTTTTGTTTTTATATTTTTCGGATAGTGGATATCCGCAAGTAAGGATAGTATAATATCAATACCTAACCTGTTTATAAGTGGATATTAAAATATCTGCTACCCGCAGGTTTTATCCACGGATAGGTTTATACGTAATAGAATGATTTACTCTCTATCCATAGAAATTGAGCTTAAAATTAAATAACATGGTACAATAAAATGAAACATCTTACATTCGAAATGTTACACTTTGTGAATAATAATAATAATAATAATAATAATAATAATAATAATAATAATAATAATAATAATAATAATAATAATAATAATAATAATAATAAATAATATCAATTACACATTCTATTTTAATAATAATAAATGATAGGTGAATTTTAACAACAAATGTTAATTTAATATATATTATTTGGAAGGATATATTAACATTTTATTTTAATAATAAAATGATACAATAACTTCAGTTAAATTTGTTTTAATTCAAAAATCTGGACAACTAAGCATGCAATTAAAATTTTCTATAATCCAAAATTATATATTTACGAAACTATGAAAACTAATTATAAATAATTTACAAAACAATATAAATTGAGTTAATTTAAATACTATAATTTAAAAAATATAAATTAGGTAACTATGATTAAATTGAATTAAATTAAAAACTATCTATACTTTAATTTAAAAAACAATAAATTAATATAAAAAAATTCACGAAAACATTGCAAAGCTTCAACGGACATCCGTTGAAGAACGGATCTCGAGATCCATAATATAAAGTCAAAAAATGGAAAAATAATTATAATGTAACTAATTAAATGTTTGTTCAAACTTCCAAACAAGCTACAGAACTATTGTAGTTTGCTATGGTACCATAATTTACTCATCTACATTGGCAGGGGCATGATAGGTTGTATATAAAAGAACAAAGAAACAAACTTTATCCTCTTTCCAGAAAGGCTGCAATTCTCTTGGCAACACAATATGCAGTAGATTCTATACTTATCATGGGATTCAAACTTGCTTCACACACAAATAGACCTTCTTCCCAACTCATCCCATTTACATCCACTATACCTTCTTTTTCACTGATCTCCATCCTGCAACTCCTTTTGCTAGAATAATAGCTGCAACTCCTCCCCACAACCAGACCCAACAATTACCACATCACACTTTATTCCAAGGACATTGTTTTCAGAATCCATAGAAACTTCAAGACCTTTCTCAGCAAGAGACTTAGGTCGGCTCCAATCACTCTCATTCACCCTTCTCATCACACTGCACACAAAGGAATATTCCATTACTCACATAATTAGTATCAGAGAGGGAAGAAATATGATGATGAATGGATGTCCGAATTTTGAGATTCGTTGAAGGCTTAACGGATGTCTCATATTTGTTGCTTTCGCGTTTCTCTTCTTCATTTAACATAGAAGAGAGTCGCATATCGAATCATCAACCTGTATCGGAGACAACAACAAAGGAAGCATCAAACTCCATAACCCTACGAACCCATCATGAATCAAGCAGTAGCATGAACCCACCACCAACAAAACACCAGCATGCAAGCAAATGAGAAGATAAACCTTGACAGAAATGAGAAATTGGGGAAAGAGAAAGAGGAGAATAGGAGGAAGAGAGAAAGTAAGAGTGTGAGGTGAGGGTGAGTAAAAAATTAGGGTTTCAAGAAAAAGTTAAAAAAAGTAAGAGTGTTGCTCCCTACACCTCTCAATTGACATTTTTGTCCTTCATTTAATAAAATAATAATTTTTCAACCATTAACTATCCTTAATTTTGTATTTTAATTCCTGTATGCACCTCTTCTTATTAACAAAATTAAATTTAATATACTAAAATAGTATTTCATACATATATTTTTTAAACAAATTTAATATTAAAATTAAATATAAAAAATACTAAATAATATATAATATCTAAAATACAAATTCTAAATTTAAAACAAATCAAATAAAAATTTAATTAAATATAACAAAAGTAAAAAAAAAAGAAAAGCAATAAAAAAAACCCTAAATCACAATNATATATATATATATATATATATATTTAAGAATTACAAACATATTTAATGTAAATATTAACAATATAATGTAAAGATTAATTCACTATAATCTTTTTGGTGATTTTAGATTTTCTAGCTGTTCTAAAAGTCCAGTTTAATGTGAACAATCTAAGAATATAGTTTTATTACATAAATAAAAACCTATATAAAAAATACCTATGAAAGTGGAGTAAGAGTTTACTAATGATGTGTTCACATGAACAAATTGTACTGTTCATGTGGATTTGCAAGCGATGAAATGCAGGGTATTTTGTGTTCGTTTGAGAAGAAAAGCAATGAATCAAGAAGACAGATTTGCGGGATTGTCATCTTTCTGATCACTCGCAAAAGGGAGGAGATTTGGAGGGATGATTAGTAAAAAGTCAAATGTGCCTTTGATGTATTATAAAATTCCATCTGTGTATACAAGTGTAATATACGTAATGAAGCAAAAGAAGATGATGAACAATGCATTGACCAAGGCGTATTCGGTTCCAATATCGTGGTATTCGGTTTCACTCCTGTGAAGATTCACAAAAACGATGTATTCAGTTCGCATGGAGTGATATTGGGTTCCAGGCCTGAGATTACTCTCACGAAGGAGATGTATTCAGTTACCATGGAGTGGTATTCGGTTCTCACTATGCGTTGTATTCAGTTATATGACCCATCTTGATCATGGCTTCACCAAAATCACGAAAAAAATGCAACATTATTGTCGTTGTAGATTCTGACCAAAGGGTCTTGAGAGCCACCATCGAAGAGCACTTAATCTAAGATGAGAAGGCCACGGCCAACCACCAGCTTGGAGAAGTATTTGTTGTCGAAACGAATGGGAGTGAGGGAGTCCAGAGGAGACAAGTTGGTGTCCTTACCGGAGGAAGGGCAAATGCTTCTTCTTGACGCGACGAAGCTGATGTCGATGTTGGTTCTTTTGTAGATGTGAGCTCTGAAAAGCTAGCACTGTGCTTGGCCTATGTTGTGGTCGCCGGAGAGCATGGTGAGGTCACGCGTGCTCAAGCCTTTGACGACGAAGGCGCTGGTGTAGGGAGGTTTAACACACACACACACATGCACATAGATCTCCACACTAGTAAGATATTGTCCGCTTTGGGATAAGCCCTCACGGATTTGCTTTTGGTACCACTCCAAAAGGCCTCTTACCAATGAAGGTATCTTATGTGTATATAAACTCTTGTCCATCTCTTATTTTATAAGATGTGTATATATTTATTTTATTTTTTTCATGTTTATGAACTCTGTCTATCAAGAAGACTTATACAAAATTATATAATGTTAATTTTTTTGTAATTTGTTTATCATAACGAAATATGTATACGTGAATTTAGAAGACTTTTTTTATCTCATGTAATATACTAACTTTCTTTAATTATTTCTTTACTTAAAAATATTCAATTTAACTTCGATAACAAATAAAATCATACCACTTCGATAACAAATAAAATCATACCGCTTCGTGAAATAATATTACAAAAATAGTACAATTAAAAATAATTTCATTTTACTAAAATAAATTTTTTGTACAATATTAAAATTAATTTTAATAATTAATGTTAATTTTTTACTCTTTATAAACTTTTTTACAATTAAATATAACATTAACAATTTTCATTTTATATTACATTAATAACTAAGAGACATTTTAATAATCTTCCATTTCTACCAATTAAACAATTTTCTTTTATCTTTTACATCAATGAAATCCTACACTATTTCCAACTCCACTCTTATCTACCTCCAAACCCACTCAACTAAACAACAATTAATTCACCCTTAAATTCCCTCAAATCCATCCACTCGCTCTTCCTCAATTCCTCTACTCCAAGTGAATACACCCTAAGAGAGAAAACTCAAATTGTAATATCATTTCAGTGAAATCCTTTTTGTTATAAATATAAATATAAGTTTATTAACTTTTCAAGTCAACTGTATCACATTTATGTGTAGTTCCCTTTTGTTTTTTCTTCACCTTCCAATCACAAGGTATCACATTGTTGTGAAAAAATTGTCAAAAAAAAAGTTGTTAAAAAGACATTTTTCTTTTGTAAAACAGAAATGAAGAATTTAACCAATGCTGTGTCATGGTGAACTTGGTTACGTGATTAGTCTAACCTACTTAAGGCCTCTTGTATGAGTCCACATAATTTGATCTATCACTCTGAGGATGACATGATAAAAAAACACAATGTTGATCTTTTTCTTCACGGAGATCATTGTTCACTTCACACATAATTGATCTCAAATGTTACAAGTTACTTGTTCATGAAGCAGTTTCTCTGATAAATAAAAACTTGTTCATGGAGCAGGATCAAGGATGAAAAAAAGTGTCTCAGAAAGAAGTATAGCTACACTCTTGCAAGGTGTCACTAATGGTGGTATCAGTGTCACTGTTACTGGAGCCTTTCCCATTGCATTGTATGAAAGGAGCACTTGCTGGAACTGACATGGAAAGATTTGTACTTGGAATTGCAGAACCCTCTTTCTGCACGTCGGTTGTGGCTTGAGAGTTCGGCAACCGTGCAATGGTAACGGCAGAACAAGTAGTTGTGGTGGTTTTAGCTGCTGCTGCTATTTCATGGTTTGCAAAACGCTTTTTAGCACCTCTGTGCATGTGTGTGGCACAGTACTTCTGACCAGGAAGAACAGCACTCTTGCATTGCCACTTCTTGCCGTCCGTTCTCCGACACCTGTCTGGTGCAGATTCTATGTTGGTTTTGTCAATCAGGTGAGATGGGTTGTTACCAAAAACTGAAAATGGCAGCCAAAAAAAACCAACAATGTTCTATCAGTTTTCACATGAAAGGTTTGTCCTTGTATGTTACGAATATAACATTAACACATTAAAGATGCACAACATTGTATTTCTGTTGTTTTTCAGAGATGTAATTCCTGAAGTAGTTCAGCAAATAAGTCAGGAAATTGCTGAATTTTAATATGGATAAGGAGGAAGTTACAAAATGATTATTATGAGAAATAAGAACAATATATAGATCGTTAGATCATATTTGAATGTTTGAGATGAAAGGATAAATACACATAGTAGCCATAAATGTTAAAGCTTGACAAGATCTATATTTATAATTCTCACATTCTTATAATAGAACTGTTCTAGTAATTCATATCCCTTGGATAGGGATTGGAAGGAGTAACGATTTTCCACCACAGTCAAGGCTTTTAGCAGGGGCAAACTAACTTTTCTTTTCTTGCATCAATTTAATATGGGTTAAATATGTGTTACACGACTTCCATAGAGTGAAGGAACGAAATTTAATTTAAGGACGAAAAACACTTTTTTATAATAGTTTGAGGACGAAAAACATTTTTTTATAATAATTTAAGAACAAAAAACAATTTTTTATAATAGTTTGAAGATGAAAAACATATTTGACTCATTTAATAATATATGTGAATGTCATTCACATGCTGTTAACATTCATGCTGCTATTGTAACTTCTGACAGTAAACAGTACTTGCCCTTATTCTTAAAATGGAATGCTGATATCTACAAATCTGTTAATGAATCTTTTTCATAGAGTGAAGGAACGAAATTTAGTTTATGGACGAAAAACATCTTTTTATAATATTCTGAGGAGAAAAAACAATTTTTTTATAATAGTTTAAGAATGAAAAACAATTTTTTATAATAGTTTGAGAACAAAAAACATATTTAATTCATTTAATAATAAATTTTATTGCAATCATTCACATGCTGTTTACATTCATGCTTCTATTGTAACTTCTGACAGTAAACAGTACTCGCCCTTATTCTTAAAATGGAATGCTGATATCTACAAATCTGTTAATCTTTTGCATATCAATAACTAATGTCTCGTTTACATCTTTTCCCAACAAGAGATTCAAACTAGAGGAGTCAGCTTCTTTGGATTTGTATCTTAACATGATGAACACCAATATTCTCAATAAAATGCCACAAGGGCACGCAAAAATAAGTGCATTTTGTGGAACACACCTAATTCTAAACAAAAAAAGGACCTCTATCTATGAGGGTGTCTTATGTGCATGTAAAGTTAGAAGTAAGTTTTGGAGAAGTCCATCTAGATTCTTGACTAATTGAACACACAATTATTAGTACACTTATCGATTATGTCAACAACATGAGATTCTGAAATTTGAATCAGGCCCCACAGAAAAAGCATTACAGTAAAGAGGACAGAACATACTTGATATGATGCTATATTGCTATTGATTCTGTTTTGTGATAGTAGGGATTGGTAGGACCATGGGAGAGAGACTATTAAGAAACATTTGAGGTACATGAGGCCTAATGATCAAGTGAAACATGACATGACAGAGTCATGTCACTGACCCCACTCCATGCAACATGTTTGATTGGCTTAGAGTTTGTTGTTCTGCAGAGTGGGGATGTGTCTGTTATCCTATAGTCCTACAAAATATAGTGAAAAACACAAATTATTGCAACCAACTACATCAAAATTACCTTGAAGAACACTTGTTGGGGAGAAGCTTATTCCAGTAGAGATGTTATTAGAATCACCAACAATGCTTCCTTTCCCATCACTTCTATTGCCTGTGTTGTTACTGACACAACTCTTGGACTGGTTATCTTTCTTGCACATCTTTAGGCAACTTTTGTCATCCGAAGCAACAGATGCCACACTGCCGAGTGTTACTGCCGCCTTAGGAGCACTGGCAGAGGCAAGGCCGGAGCCAGGGGATGCCGCAAAGGTGGAAGAAAACACCATGAAGGACCTGTTCATAGAAGAGCAATTGTCAATGCTGAGGCTCCTTGATGGAGTACTGGAAGGTGTGTCACTAGGTTGCATGGCCATGATAAGGTTTGGATTTGAAATTTCAAATAGTGTCTCTGAAGCTGATTTGGTAGGTGACTTGCTACAAGGTTTTGGTGCCAAAGGAGTGTTAACTTGAGATGTTTCCACAGGCTTTCTTGAACGATTTCGACCTCTATGCATGTGCCTTTCACAGTACTTTTGACCAGGCACTACACTCTTACTGCATCTCCATTTCTTTCCATCTGTTCTTCTACACCTATGAGGTTCTGGAACCATCCTACTCCCTTGATCAAAACCAAGGAAACTGTATTCTGTAACCAAAACCAATGCACAAAACATACAAAACAAACTCATCATTACCTTACAAGTACATGAACAAACATACCCAAAAAGCATAAAAAGTTTTGAAACTAAGCCTACCTTTGAACATATAAAAATCCCAATGGATTCCTATACTAAGTAAATCCACTACCAAGAGCATTTTGTCTAAATCTTGGCACCAAACAAAAAAAAAAAAAGCCAACAATTAACTCCAAAGAAACAGGGAGTCTCTGTATAGTAATTCATTCCAAAATCAGAATGTGATTCATCCTATAATAAACACAACACCACATGATAGTTTTTTTAAAGGATACAACTTTATTATAAATATGTAATATACAGAGAAGGTATGATCACTTGATCAAAGGCTATTTATTACAAACCTGACATGTTGCTTGGGAATTGGACACGGTGATGAGGAGGAGGAAGTTTATAAGCTAAGTGGTTGAAGATGAAAACCTGGTGGTGAAGCTCACGCCTCTGAGCTTCAGTGATCACATGGTTTATTTCTGGTGGCGCAGAATGAGAAGCATCAACCCCAAGATGAAGTTCAACACTGTTGAAAGAGTTCTCTTTCTCTTCCTTGACCATAACTGTATCTCCCGATGATTTAATAAACTAATACATCCGACTCATTTTGATCTTGTTGGTCTCCATTTCAGACCCAGTTTTCTAGAAAAAAAAAACAATAATAAAATCCCTCTCCAATATTTCCATGGGGACCCATTCCTCTCAATAGTTATCATTCTTCATCCCATCCAACACAGATGGAGGGTACCGGCACTCAATCATGTAGAACCCACAACATTCTTTCATCAAACTTTCAAACTCAATCAAAATTTTCTTCCCTACTGTAAGACCTCGGAAATAATAGCAACAAAATCAAATCCAATTATAGACCCTATGACAACGAAATTTATTTTCTGAATCTTCATCCCTGCGTCATTTGGAGCGTCTAACCATCCAATTCTCTTCACTTATTTTCCATTCCTTAATTCCAATTCAACAAAAAGCAGAACTTCTTCTTCACTTTCTCTATAGTTTTATCATCAATAGATTCACCTTTAGAACAAAAAAGTTTAGTCTCTATATTGCATATAGTTTACCTTCAACTTTCATCTTCATTGACTCCATTTCCTTCATTTTTCACCTGCACAAAATTACCCACACAGAAATAAATTTCATAACCCCAAAACCACTATTCATCACAGCTTCACATCTCTCCCATGAACATATAGACCCCCTCTATTCAACTTTATTTGTGATTTTTAATTCAACACCAACATAAACACTCTCAACCCCAAACATAATCATATATTAATCAACCAGAAACCCAATAGAATCGTATAATTGAAATAGAGAAGAACAACTTTTGTTTAGAAATTGGAACCAATAGGAAAGAAAAGTAGCAGTTGCACACGGTGGCCACCAGCAGCGGTGAAGTCAACTTCAGTCCTAGCAGAAACTTGACTAGCAACGCAGAGGCGATTTTCTACCAGCCCTAAAGATGACGAAGGTCCTGGTCACCGTGACTGTGGGTTTTAGCATAAATGAGAACCTTGGTTTCCGGAGATAAGAACAACTAGGAGCAATAGGTCTGAAATGGAGAGGAGGAAGAAGAATCTGAAGTTGTGATTTGAGGATGAAGAAGGAAGCCTCTTGATTCTCAAGAGGACGTGTCGCCAGCTATGTCCACTGTTGCCGCGAAGTATCAACGGCGGCGAGGAGAAAGAAGGGGCAAGGCCATGGTTGGGCGAGGAAGGAGAAACGGTGAAGTAGAGGATGCAGTGATGCTGTGATGAAAATGAAATGGGTAAGAAAACCTCTTTCAAGCATGGAGAAGAAGTTAAGGAAAAAGTTTTCCTTTTTGTACGTGATAAAGTTGGATGACATATTTGCCCTTGTACTCTAGTTTCATTTCAACTAGTTTTCTACCTATTCACATTGAAATTGATCAGAAACACTGAGTAGCTTACGTACAAGGAGCATTCTTAACTACATAATTTCAGGTTTCAGGTTGGGAGTGACAGTTAGTTCGGGGAGAAAAACTATTAAGAAAGTAAGAAAAACTTATTAAATTTGTTTCATGTGATTTGATTAAGATTAAATTAGATATTAATTGTTTTATGAATGGTAATATATGTATTTGTTTGTGATCTTTTTAACTCAAATGTTATTTACGATGAGAATGTAAATTATGTAAATGAAATTCAATCATGTATATGTAATAAATGTTGTGATTGATATAAGTTATGAGAACAAATTTTTATAAGTTTTTTCGTGATCTGAGGAGAATGAATGACATAAAAATTATATTAATTTGTTCATTTTTGTGCAGAAATATCATTAATGGAACAAGTTATATAAAGTAGAAGTGGGGAGAGTGTAATTATCATGATTTTATTGAACTTTTATACTTATGCATAAAATGAGATTTAGACTGTGAGAATTAAATGAGGTTCCATAGCTTGTCCAATGGCGATCTTCTTCCGTGGTCCACCTCCTACCCCTGAAAAAAAAGACACAAACTTGAGAACAAAAGTAAGAAAAAGAAAACAAAAAAGAAGAATAAAAAAAGGTGACAATGAAGAACATGTGATGATGGGGAAAAGTAAAGAGAGTGGAAGAGAAACCAGAAGTGTTGTGTGAAGAGGGAACAATCCTAAAAGGCTTAGCTTCCATTGTCACATTCACATGAGGTCTTTTTTCTCCTTTTTCTTTAGAGGGTCTGTCTCTGATAGTGATGATCAAGAGGGAAAAAAGCTTCTTTTTTTTCTTACTTTTTCAGTGTGAATTAGAAAATGTTAAAAAAGGATTTGGAAAGGGTAACTTGGGCAGGGAAGAACTTCTGTACTTGGCTCCATTTACTTCAATTGTAAGTGGGAAGAAAGAGAGCAGAGAGAGAAAAAGATGTGTCAGAAGTTTCTGACAAACACCTGTTGCAAGACTTTGCAGCAGTCACTTTCACACAAACAAAATAATCCTTACGTTATGACATACTGTTCAACGTTGTTGGGCTCGTGAACACTTATTTTTTCAGATGTGTTATTATTTCATAACCCTATGTTATGTATCATTAACCAAAAACAAAATTAACAATTGATGTTAAAAAATAGAGTTTAAATCTAAAACAAACTTCTTTTAAAACATAGACATATTCTGAGTATGAGTATGATTAGATGATTTGTTAATATAAACTTTAATATTATATAAAGAAATTAATATAGGTTTAATTCATTTCTTCGAAATTAGTTTTTAAGAAAAAAATTATTTTTATTTATATATGTAGAACCCTGGAAAATTAATCATGATAAACACCTTGTCAAATCAATATTTATGAAGGGAAAACCCCTCTGCAGTGCATTAATAACGCACATGCACTCCCTCTGTCACAATGCCAAGTGTCACCGAAATAGAATGGGAATCAGTAATGGGGATACAGGTGTCGGCAGGGGAGACGCACGATCGTGCGGATGTGGGAAGGAACAAAATGAACTTTTCTGGAAAACTCTTCCTCTCCCTTCTGCATGCTTCATCTTCTTCCCAGAGTTTCTGCTTTCAAATTCTCTGCCCTCTCTCTAAACCGTCTTCATCTTCTCTCTAAGATAACTCACCATCATCCCCTCCGATCCCATTTCAGATACCGTAGAAACGTTCCCTGCACTGTGAGCATCGCGCTGAACCGAACAAAACCGAGATCTGAACTGGTAAGTTCTCGTCTCTGCATCTCGTCTATTTAGTTCATGCGAACCAAAATTCTGGTTGCATGTGTGGGTTAGAGGTCTGATCTGTTTATGATTTTGGTGTATTAGTTAAGTGGAAGTTGTTGAGTGAAATTCTGGATAGAAAGCCGTGAGAGCACGAGAGAAACCTTAAGCATTTGGAAGTGCACTACTGAACCAGGTAAGGGAAGCTTTAGTAATTTAATTTAATACTTGTTTGATGTGTATGAAAGCAATGAAGTGTACTGGATGTCTGAAATGCATGAAATATTTGATGTTTAAGTATGCATGAACGAGCATGGTTGCACTGGATGTATATGATGAATATTGTTTGAACTGTATGCTGAGAATGAAACGTATGATTTGGAAAAAAAAAAAAGAATAATTTCTGTATGGTTTGGGATGATAATATGAATTTTGTAATGTATGAGATTTATGGTGGAGAGAAATTATAAGTTATGAATCGTATGAAAACTGTAAAGTTATTGTAAAATGAAAAATCTGGAAAATACCATATTCTCTGCTTGATAATGTACGCTCGTCATCGAACGGTCTTATACCGTTCGGTTTCCCTTGAAAAGGACTTAGAATAAGAATTCTTTCATTCGGAAAGGATCCTGATGAAGAGCGAGCGTCCTTTGAGTGAAGGGTTAGGTTTGAGCGTTCGGCTCAGCCTAGCGTGTCCAACGATTGAAATAAATTGAAGTGTATTTAGTAACGCTCGGTTTTATATTCCAGCGTTCGTCATAGGTAGCGCTTAGTCTTATACTGAGCGTTCGTCCAAATGAGCTCTCGGTCTTAGATTGAGCGTTCGTCCTAGTTAGCGTTCGGTCTAATACCGAACGTTCGTTCTAAATGAGTGTTCGTTCTATTTAGTGCTCGGTCATTTACCTAGCGTTCGTCCAAAGCAGTGTTCGGTTTTATAACTGAACGCTCGTCCTTATCATTGAATTCTGAGCGAACGTAACTGGCGTTCGTTCAAATTATTAATTGATGTTCGGTCATTGACTGGAAGTGTTGTCTTCTGAATTGGTCATACTCTGATTATTTATCTAAGTTATTTTGTAAAATATTTATCCTTTTGATTCAACCTAAAGTCCTTGTACTCAAATTTTTCTAAGTATGATTCAGATCTTTTAAAATCAGTTCATTCAAATTATTTAAGTGTCGAACGTTCGTCAGTGGATAATGGTTCGTTTCTTTTGTTCAGAAACGAGGATGCAGTGTACTGTAATACTTTCGTCCTTATTTATTAAAGGAGGAACGTTCGTTAATTTATGAGAGTGGAACACAGAATGAAAATGTGAATAAGAGAAATGGTTAATGTGGGTAAATGTTATTTTGAGTGAATCTTTGTAAGTGGATTTTGAACGAGCGTTCCAAGGAGGAATGTCTCCATGATGTGAATTTTAGAAGTTATGTAGTATGACCATGGTAAAGTTGCTGATGGCTGTTCATCCTGATATTCCGTGAGTGCTCATCCTCATGTAGAGGGGAGTAGGTCATGTGTGGGAATGGCAGGAGGCCCTAGTCCTACTGAGTACTTTGGACTGATAGGGTTAACCTCGGGTGGCAGCTGTTGAGTGTTTCCCAGTTACCACACCACCCGGGTGCAAGAACGCCTGTAGATACATGGCTTCATACAGTCCGGACAGTCGTTAATTATGAGAGTTTGAATGAGTTATTATATGTTTGGATATATTCCTATTGCTGTATGAACTGTATGATTGATTGTGTATGTTAAAATATGTTGATTGTATGAATTAAATTACCTAAGCTTACCCTTGCAAATTCCTTGTGTTGTCTACTGGTTATGTACGTCCGTCTTGTCAATGCAATGATCATCCGTTGTGGATGTGAGCAGATGGAGAGGTGCCACTTGATGAGATGCTAGAAGAAGAAAATTTGGAGGACGTCAACCTGGTAGAAGTTGAAGTTAAAGCTGAGCAGTAGAGCGCTCGTCCAGTTGTAGCTATTAGTGTTTTTTTGTATTTTGGGACGTTCGGCTTATTAGTTTTGGAGAGCCGTTCGTCCAGAACTTGGAATTGTGTATAGATTTTGATTTCCCGTATATTTTGTACGTTCGGCTTTTAATTAGCTGATTTTAGTTAAGACTGCACTGTTTAACTCTGTAAATGTGATTAGTTCTAATTAATGGTAATTACTATTTATTGGGATGTTACAATATATTATAATAAATTTGTGTTATTTTTAATTAACGTGAAACTTCTAATGATAAATTAAAAAAAAATATCTAATTCATAAAATATACTTAGAAGCTATTTTTTTATAAAGAAAAGGTTAAAGTTAATTTATAAAGCAAAATATCATGAACATGTGTACATTTTGAGTAATTTATATGTATAGTGTTGTGAGACATTGTTTGATATCTTTAATAAATTAATGATGATGTATAAACAACGAACTAAAGGTAATAGTAACTTATAAGTGAAAGATAACATATTTTTTATACATTTTAATAGTTGTATTATACAAAGATTATATTTTTAAATATTTTATTTTCTCTTTTTAGCTTATTTTAGAGTTTAGTGATCATAAATTAGATTATATGATATATTTGTCTTACTTTACATTTTTTTACTTGTCTAACTTTCACTTATTGTTTCGGATATAAATTTTTTGTAGATACTATTTTTTATTTTTAATTGATTATAACTGCATTAGCTACACTTTCAAGACTTTAATTTGGATATATTAAATTTTTTATAACTTAAGACAAAATTGTTAAATAGTTGTTTACAAAAGAATCTTGTATATTAGTTATTTACTTGTATCAACTTATCTTTTCTAATTAAGTTTTAAAAATTTAATAGAGTCCAAATTATATGTAATATAAGAGTGATTTTCTTTCTTTAGTTATGAAAACTTCCAAAACATTTCGGTAGGTTTATGAAAACTGTAATTAAGTTTGATTTTTTTTAAGAGATGTTTTGGATTGTTTATGAAGTATATCTAATATTATTTTAATTAGGATAAGTTTTGGGCAGATTAAAACAAATTCTTAGTTAAGAGAGAAAATATTAACATTATTTCGCCCTTTCTCTCTTACACCAAAATCTCTATTTCTATTTTTTTTCACAATTCCTAATTCTTTCATTTTTTAAACTATGCTCTTTGTTGACTCAACTCATATCTTTTTGGTTTTTATTTTGATT